GAAAATGGATTATGGAAAATGCCGTTTCAATAGATGAAATATGTGATGAATTTCCTCGATTAACTGATTATTCTGGGGAGATGGTAAATAACATAATGCTTTATCTTTACAGCTTAGTTGTATATTGAAAAAGATATTTTAATTATTTTACAAAAATGTATTTATATTTTTGCAGTTTGATGAGGAATTTGAAAGGTTATATAAAGGAGCTTCTGATAAATTCTTAGCAAGATTTGCCCCTTTTTATGTACAAAGAATCCTTATATATTGCAGTACAGCAAGACCAGACTTATTTAAAAAATCAGCTTTTATTTAAGATGGTAAATTTATATTTCATTATAACTCAAGACTCGATACGTGTGGCCATTTTCTTATAGTTTGATTTTGCCTAATACCATTTTTCTTACTTCATTAATCCGCGTATATTCCGAGTGTCAATCGACATATAGATTGCGCGTGGATAGAGATAAAAGGAATAACGCTAAGTATAAACCAAGCTGAAAATCGATTGAAATACAACACGTGCCGAGTCCTGCTGTAATTGAAAATCCTGTTTTCTTTTTTAATTTTAATTTTTTTATAATTTTTAATAGAAATTAAACAGTGAAATATTAATTATATATTTATTTTAATTATTATTATTATTATTACAATTTAATTAATAATAATTATATATTCATTTTTTCAATTATATATAATTTTTTATATATTCAGATGCTCTTCGTGCCATAACTCTTCTGGCAGATTTACTTCCTGTATCAATGCTGTTAGGAAAGGAAAAGAAAAAGAAAGGAGCAAGCAAGGAAAATTTATCAAAAGGGGTAAACATGTTTTATCTTATTTTTTAAATTTCTTAGTATAGACTGATAATAATCAATATAATAAATATGATTGTTAAAATATATGATTCAAATATTTGGATATTTAATTTTAGAAGAACATTATTGATAAAAGAGAACATGGTGAAATGTATACTGCAACATTTCCAAATCCTTCTTTACTACAGATATGGCCTGTGAGTTTGATTAGTGCATATAAACTTATATATTAATACTTGTGCTAACAAGAAACTCCTTTTTCAGGAAGGAACAAACATAGAGGCCCAAACTGAGAAACTTAGAAGTGAATCCAAAGGTCCTATTCAGCCCTATATTATTTTAATCAAAGGACAATCTACACAATATTTTATTCAGGCTGATAATCGCACTCTAACTTTGAACAATAACTCGCCTATTATGGCACTTGATTTGTTGTTTAAAACATATTATGTTTTCGATGTGAAGTGTCCAGAAACACTAATTTATTTTTTTAATTTCTTAGAAAACTATTGCTTTAAAATATCCGATAAAGTACAACATGCTTTGGTTTCTTCTGTTCATATTAATATTTGCAATATAACAGTAGATAATATTGCATAATATATCTATTGTATAATATTCTCATGTTTAATTTTAAATTAACTTTATTTTGCTGACATGTTTTTATAATACTTAATTTAAAGTATCGTGAAACTAAACTTGTTTTTCTATTTTTGATTGCATTCTAGTAATTTTATAAAATTTATTTCATTATCCGATAAAGTGCAATATGTTTGAGTGTCTCTCTCATATTTCTAATATTACATTATATAATATATTGCATAATATATTCTTTTACGTTTATATTCTTGTGTTAGTTGTTAATTGGCTTTATTCTATAAACATTTTGTCTTTAATTTTCAATTTATTTGAAACTCTAAACATATTATTTGATTACTTTGAATTACTTTTTATATATAATTAATATATAAAAATTATGTTAATATATAAATTACATTAAATCAACAAATATAAGAATTTTTTGTTTGAATATTAATCGATTATTTTTTTCCTTTGTACCACACACCAACATCCAGCAAACACTAACTAATAGTAATAATCTTAATATTATAATTTTCTACTTAACAATGTGTAAAGTAACTCAACACATATACATGTTTTACGTTACAGTTAAATTCTTGAATAGAAAATTATAATATTAAGGTTATTAGTGTTAATTAATATTTTTGCTGGGATATTCACTGATTTGAATAGCTCACATCACTGATTTTATTGTTGAAAATCACTGTTTCTAATAGTTTAATATTACTGATTTCAGCAGTTAATATTATTAATTATTCCTTTCAGTGATATTTTACTGATTTACAGTGCTATACTTATAACTATTATAATAAGTGACTATCGACTGTTTCCCAGTGATAATACACTGATTCACTTTTAGAGAGTACGGTCCAAGATATTCAGGCGCCAACTTGAGACCTGGATTTTGTTGCGTCCGCTTACTTGCGACGAGATCGCTCTCACGATGACAGAATGTCTTTTTTCTTCGTTTATCGTAGTGCTTTTCATTTTCGCGCTGAATCTTTTCGATATTTCCTCTTGCTTGCATCTGCAATCCGTCTCGGTCATCCTGCGCTTGCATGCGCAATCCGTCTCGGTCATTCTGCGCTTGCCTCGACTTAGGAACAAGTCGTACATCGTTATCTACTTCTTTATATATAACAGTCCGTCTCGCAAGATATTATCACTCGACTGTCCTTGTTTTAACGCATCCAACATTCTCTTTATGTCTTCGTCTCCGGATTGTGCTCTTTTCAGGCGAGCCGTCAATCTATCTTCACATTCATCGATCTGACTATTTACAATATTTCTTTCCGACGATGATAAACGCTTCGCTCGCTGATACACAGGTTTGCCATCTTCTAAAATAATCGGCATCTTTATATCGGTCTCTAATACTTGATTCGATCTGTATTCGTCAATTACCGTTACAACAGCGCGTCTGTGATCGGCATTTTGCACATAAGATGCATCTACTATGTTCGTTTTGCATGTATTGATTTGAACGATATCCGGCGAATCATCTACGCTTGCCATTTGAGTACAAATAGGTTTAATCATTGTTACGCCCTGCTTAATGTTGACCTATACCGTATTCAAAAAATCAGTGCCGACTACCAACTTTTGCTGCAATACTATGTCTGAAACGACTCTAATAAGGATTGGATAAGAATGCCCATCGATTGTAAGTTTTGCGCGAAATTCGCCTAACGTTATTATTTCGTTTGATCCTACGCCTAAGAAACGAATTCCAATCGCCCGCAGTCGAAGTAAACCTAATTTAATGTATTCGTCCGCACGCATCAAGGAGATATCGCTGCCCGTGTCAATAAGCGCTTTGATTTTCTTCCCGTTTATCGCAATGTCTTTCGTATGTTTCCTATGCGATGAAAGCGTCACAAGGTAAGAAGTAGGAACGTCATTTTTTCCCGAACACTTTGATGCAATTTGTCCGAATTCTCCGCATTTAAAACATTTAATGAATCGATTTTTCGACGGACAATTAGCGCTAATATGATCGCGCGCACCGTAGTTAAAACATCGTTTGACATCGGTCACTGTTTTCCTTCTTTCACTGCTGCTGGTGTTGTCATTTTTTCTCTCGCTTGGACTCGTCCTGCCGTCTCGCTTGCTCGATGTCTGTCCGCTGCCCCGTCTATCCGGTCGACTCGAACTCGTGTGATAATCTCGTAACGATATTGTCTCGAATGCTTCCAACAGAGATTCTACTTTGCCAAACCGTTGCAAACGTGCCTGGTTACGTAATGTAACCCCGGGAATACCCTCTATAATATAATCTATTATATCGTTACTTTCAATCGGTACACAATTGCCCATGATCATTTTTTCGTGCACATACTCGCGAAACGTCTCGTTTCTTCTGCAACCACGCGCCTCAAACGTCTTTCGAATCATTATCCCGTCGCTGACCGAACATTGCCCTTAGTCTCTCGATTAAAATATCGAAATTCGTATTGATGAGCTCGGGTTTCGAATGTAACCATTCAAGAGCCTTTCCTTTCAGTCTCATTCCGACTAAAATTTTCGCTTGATCGTCTTCCAATCGATAAGTCGTCTTTAAAAATTTCGCTATTCTTTCCCACGTATCGAAATTGCTAGGGCT